TTTTTTTTTTTTTTGATAGAGATCACAACAGTTGTATGAGTTCTGAAGCACATATGAAAGGTGAATTCCCAGCTATTTTTTTGTTTGTTTAATTTTTACAAGAAAAACAAACTGCGGCTTTTTTGTGAGATTTTATTTAGGCTTTAAAGTTGAAATAAATGAAGTAATGGCATCTTTCTTTTCTTCTGTATTGTGACATACATCCAAGTGTAATGGATGAAAAAAAAAAAAAAAAAGATTGGATTTTTAGATATGGATGTTGCACTCAAAAGTGGAGGCAGATGAATATGTGCTTGCAGATGAGGGCTTTAATCTGACTATATAATTGCCCAAGTCTGTCATTTCACCACAAGACCCAGTTTACATTTTGATTAAACTTTACAAGGTCAGTTTTTTTTTTTTTTTACATCAGTGTCTGGGAGTATTTAAATGAATCACAAAACATGATTTACTAAGGTTTGCATTAATCTATTTACTGGTATTTGCACCTTTATTTAACACCAAAAAAACAAACAAACAAACAAAAAAACATGTCTTAAGGGGAGACACTGCAGGCAAAAACACAGTTTTTTTCATGCACCTGTCAAGTTTGAGATTTGGGGCTTTTTGCTTTTTCATAAAGTGTTTTTTCAGACTAGTGGAAAGAAAACATCCAAAAGACACTGTTAAGTGTTTATTTTATAGCACTTTACCTATTTGTGTCAATAGATTTCAATTACAATACATATTTTTAAAGGCTGTTTTCTCAAAATGAGTTTTTTCTCCTACACTAAGCCATAAATCTCCACTTCAGTAGCACTTACACACCCCAAACTTTACTTTTTTATTTCTGTCTATATCCCGAAGGTTTTTACAGAGGGAGTTTGTTTGATTATATACAACATTTTATTCCCCCCAAAATTGTGAAAATATAGTGTTTTCTGTCCATTCTAAGTATTTTCTGAATTATGACAAAATGAGATACCCAAAATTCCCCTCTAAAAACTTTTGACTCTAATATGTCAAAACAATTAAACGAGAATTTTGAAACTGACATCATCCAGTGTTTAGATTCTTGTACTAGAAATGTATATGCAAATTAACGCATATTTCATTAAATAATGACTCATTTGCATATTTAAACCTAACATTTTAGAAAACATGTAATACAAAAAATGTTTGCAATTATCAATGTAATCAATCAGCTGGGTAAGTAAGGCGATAACTATAAGGTATTTTTTTTACCCTATTCACATGCAGTGTCTCGCCTTAACCCATTTTGCACTTGACATGACTGCGATTGTTGCTGCCAAGAGGAGGCACCACAGAGAGCACATGCTAGATGTTACGTATCCAGTCCATGAACTTTCATCATGAGTCAAGACAAATCACAGTTGATCGTCATGAGTCAGATCGAGTCACAGTTTGTTATCATGAGTCTGGTCAAGTCACAGCTGATATTCATGAGTCTAGTCAAGTCACAACTGATCGTCATGAGTCAAGTCTAGTCACAGTTTTTCTTCCTGAGTTCAGTCAAGTCACAGCTGATCTTCCTGAGTTCAGTCAAGTCACAACTGATCTTCATGAGTCAAGTCTAGTCACAGCTGATCTTCATGAGACAAGTCAGGTCACAGTTGATCGTCATGAGACAAGTCTAGTCACAGTTGTTCTTCCTGAGTTCAGTCAAGTCACGAGCTTGCACATGGATCCGCATGTCTCACGTCTTGTCAGCCCCGTAACACTAGAAGGGAGAGGATTCTTTCCACTCGTATAATTTTTTTTGGAATGCCAGGTGGAAGACATTATCCGAACACATCCTTGCGCTAATATGCGCTTGTTGGTCAGTATGGAAATGAGATGTTGTGTCTGTTCTTTAATTTATACATTGTCAGTAGATCACCCGCAGAATGGAATTGGAATTTTTAGAATAACTCTCCTGAGCTAATTTGCCTTGTTTATTAAATCTGGCCCTAATAAACTACTGTCAGGGTTTACTAATGACAGTTATTTCTGTGACTGACCTTGTTGCATATAGATTTGTATGGGAGGAGTGTACTTAAATCAGGGGTTCTCAAACTCTGGCCCTCAAAGTCTACTTTCCTGCATAGTTTAGCTCCAACCCAAGCCAGAGTGTAGAACCCCTGACTTAAATCAATCGTGAAAGGTGATTTGCTAAGGTTTACTGTAATCTGTTTAATGATATTTGCGCCATTATTTAACACCCAGAAAAGCATGTCTTAACCCATTTTGCACCTGTGTTAATAGATTTCACAGACCTGGTTATCATTGGCTCTACTTGTTTGTGACCCTAGTCTAATTTGCGCTACTTTTGGTAGATTGGTTGGTCATTATGGAAATGCATTGGCTGCATCTGTGTTCTTTTAATTTGCGCATTCTCTGTAGATCACTTGCAGAACTTTCCCAGGGATTGTTTTAACAGCTTCATTGGGCATACATAACACTGATACTAGTCACTAAAAATTTGGAAGCCAAGTCTATTAAAACTTGGAAGCCATAGAAAAAACATATTTTTTATTTTCATTAAACAACACAATATTTTAAATCATTACATATAGCAAATTGCAGTTGTAATAGTTATTACAATTAAAGTCTAATTTCAGAAAAAATCAAAGAAGGAAAACATCAATATTTTTAGACAATACACAATTACACAACATCTGTTATTAAATAGTAATGTGACATATTTGTAGGTAATAATGCTGTAAATGAGTTCTACCTGTTGTGACATTCCCTACTCTACAATCTCTTAAAAAATAACATTTTCACTTGTGAACAGGCTGTCGATTCATTAAATGAATAGCTATTTCCTCACAAAAGCTGTTTATTCAGCATAGTGAAGCCTCTCCTCCTCTGACATCTATTCAAAAATGCCTCATGTCTCCTTCGCTGCGTACTGCCAGTGTTAGCATTAGCTGTTACTTTTATAAGTTAAAGGTTGCAGGCTTGCCTTCCAGTGGCTTTAACTTTCACTCTCATTAATGCTTTTATGGGATTGCACTCATTCAAATGCACAAATGCGATGACTGGAGATTACATTTTCGATTTGTTTCTCGGCAAACACTACCGTATGCCTTAAGAACACTTGGAATATGGAACGAGTTGCATGGCATAATTTTATGACATTTGAATCCTTTTTGTAAAAAGATTGATGAAGGGGACAATTCATTAAATTGACAAGTGCAAGCATTTTTTATATAATGTCGTCTTTTGTGATCCGAAAAATAAAAAGGTTTGATTGACTAATTATTTACCTAAGTTGTGAAGGGGTAAATAAACTATAAACTATGAGAGAGAAAGAGCGTGCAAAATAAGGGTTAAGGCCTTTCCACACTGAGCACGAAAAAGTGAAACGAATATCGGACTCGATGACGCACTGGAATAAAACAATACATTTCTATGGATGCTTCCACATAGACCGCGAACATTCGCACACCGAAAATGCGAATGTTTTTTTTCTGCACCAGTCTGACGAATCTTTTCAGTTTCGCAAAGGGAAAACACGAGCCGTCCAATAAGATTTGAGCTAGGATCACGTGACCTGAGCAGCTGCTGTTGCACAAAAGGGTAAGAGTGGTGGCACTGTTTCGAAAACCAGTGAAAACAAACACAGAAGAAGAGTATCCCGGATGAGAGAGTGGATGCTGAGTTCTTGTTATCGATGGTATTTGAGAACAGATTTATTCTCACATGTTCTTTATACAGAATAACATTTCTAACAATTCTCTACTGAATTATGTGATCTGTAGAGCACCGTTCCTTTTCTTCCACGTGCGCAAGTGTTATGAGTCAGAGCTCATTCACTCTCTAGTCTAGATCTTCCGTATTAAAAAAATCGAGTGAAACATTTTTCTACACATGAAATATGAAAGCAAATAGACATATGATTATGACAATATATTTTCTGTATGTGTTTTGTATGCAGCTCATGGTATTTTTTATAGCAATAAAGGATGTTTATGACAAATATTAGCAGTGTAGCGTTATTAAACATACAAAGAGTGCATGTGTCTGCTTATTATCGAATCAAAATCAACTATAAATCATAATCGGAAGTTATTACAAGCACTCGATGATGGTTTAAAGTGGGTAAGTTAAGCAAATAAATTTTTAAGTGTAGCTTGATGCTAATTGTACTTTGATCTTGCTGAAGTTGGTTGATGAAAAAGAACCAGTTTGAGTCGGAGGGTCTTGGTGAATGGAAAGTCAAGGCCGAAGCCTGGCGAAGACTTAGGGTGACCTTAGGAGCGTTGTAGCACACATCTTCTCAGAATTAGGTAAGATGACAGGAACGAGTGGTTCCATCATAAGCCTGCATAGAACAGTATACAATAAAAAAGACAATATACAAGGTCAATAACAACATACACAATGACCTGAAGGATATGTGTGTTCATTCAAAGAAAGGTTTTCCTATGAATTAATTAGAGAAGAGTCAATTTTTACTGTGCATTGTGTCTTTCCTATGGAAAATGTAGTGAGTTTCTCTAACCACATTCCTTTGGGCAATAAAACCAGTGATCTAAGCATTGGTTGCCATGGAATCAGAGGCCTATTGTTGTTCGCAGACATCCTGGCACCCAGTATGTTTATTTGGTGAGGGGTCTGTGACTATTTGTTAATCTAATGAATAACTGATTTGTTAAATCTAATGAAAAATGGTGTGTCTGATTGGTACAGACGCTACAGCCTTTAGGTGTAAAAGAGCACATAGTTATTGTGTTGGGACCCCATACCTGAAATTTTCTTAGGGCCCCCAAATCACTAAGTCCGCCCCTGAATAGAGGCAGGCAAAACGAAACATATACAGAACATTAAACAATCACGGAAATAGAGATGGTCCTCACTGCAGAACACAAGATCCAGGGGGCGTGGTTGGATCCAGATCCAACTCCTCCCACCTTACATATACCTAAACCTACCCGTCTCCACCCTCTGATCCCTCACGCATCTCCACCCCAACCCTGCCCCCCGCCCCCCCCCCTAGATGTGGATCCAACCACGCCCCCTGGACCTTGTGTTCTGCAGTAAGGGGCTACTGCGTAAATATAACATTAATAAATTCAAATGTCCATCATAAATTATACACAGCCTCTAAAAGAGGCAGAACAACCCTATATCAAAATTAGGTGGCAAGTGAAATGGGACAAAATATCAAAGGAAAACAACTACATTGTTCAAAGGCAAGTTAATACAGAGAGACCAGAAACCGGAAAGATGATACTATCATTACTTGTCTTAGAGCTGGGCATTCAGGTTTAAATCACTCACTATATAATAAGAACACTTGAAACAGGAAAATGCATGTATTGCAGCCAAACAGAGACAGTAGAGAACATTATTTTTTTCACTGCACAACATATGAGAATGAAAGAGCTGAACTCAAATGAGAGCCACAAACTATAGGTATACATAACATCACAATGCAAAATCTGCTTAAAAGAGGTACAGGACAAGGGAAAGAATACACTATATTTTTTAAATTATCTAAGATTATCTAAGACTTATTTATTTATTTATTTTTGCCTGTCCTTTCTGCACTTCACACTCCTATCCAGCTGGTGGTGGTAATGCACCTAAGCTGGTTTGCCAACTTGCATTAAACTTTACAAGAAGAGGAACAGCAACAATTACGGTGTGTTCCAAATGGGATATATCACCCTCCGAAGGGCACTTTGGAGTGAAAACAATCATGGCTGCTACATTGAAGCGTTGTTCCAAACCGAAGTGCTCAAAACTGGCAACTTCAAAGGGCCCTTCGTAATGAATGATTTCGAAGGGTACAACTGATGGACACTTCAGGCCCCAAGATCCTTTCGAAAGTCGTCGAAAGTTGTTTGGCTTCATAGAATGGGTACAACAGGAGGCTCAACGTTCGACTTCACCTATAAATATGTATAGCATTTTTCTCTACTACTGTAATATTTATACAAGTTAGATTTGGTACTGTCACACCCCTGTGGACTGCTGATTGTGGTTTCTCCCTCCATATTTGGTTATTACTGTTCTCATTATTAGTTAACCACCTCATTGTGCTCACCTGTCTGCCCTCGTTATCTGCCCTATATCAGTTCCTGTCGATTGTGTTCTAGTTGTTCGGTTATTGTGAATGTTACCCTGTGTGTGTGTGCCTACCCTGTCTGGATATTATCCCTCTGTGGATTATTAAAGACTGTATATTGTTATCTTCTTCGTCTTCGTCGTTCTGCCTGATCACACACCACACCGTCTCGTGACAGAATAACCGACCCACAAAAACTATTTAAGCGGCATCTTCCCCTCGTTTTGTTTTCCGTTTTTGACAGTTTTTATTTTTTATTATGAACGAACCTACCGTCCTCGTCCTCCTGTTGGAGCAGGGGAATCGCCCTCTCAAGGACCACACAAAGGATTTTGTGTTCCTGGCTAACCTCACACACTACCCGGACAACTGCCTCTGCTCGTTCTATCTAGCTGGAATTAATAACACCACACGAGTGCAGTTGTCCGGAGATGGTCCCCGAGAGAGCATCGCCGCCTTCATTGAGTGGGTGCTGGTGTCCTGCAAGTCTCATCTGACCGTGAACATCGCAGACAATGACACCAGCCCCACTCGGGACCCAGAGCCTAGTCAAGGACCACCCTGTGGTGCGGAGCTGCCCGAGCCCACCGCAGATGGAGAGCCAGAACCTGCCGCGGTCGTTGAGCCATCGCCATCAGGAGCGACAGAGCTGACGATCGCCCTGGAGCCTGAGCCCCAAATGTCTGACCAGGTGCGAGAGCCGACAGCACAAGCGACGGTGGATAGAGCTGTGGAGATCGCAGGGGCAATGGAAAGCCCAGCCCATGGCGCCATCGCTGGGGGTGAGCACAAACTGGACCTGAGAGATTTAATAGACTTGCACTCAGAGATACCCGTCCTTCAGTTTTCACCCGACCTGTTTACCTGGGAAAATATCCCACCCAACCTCCTTCTCCCGCCTCCTCTCATTGACCTGTTCCCTTCCTCAACACCCTCTTCGCTGGATCCCGTCAGCCTCTCTGCTCACCCTTAGCTCACCATCTGTGGTGTGGACTCGCTGCTGGTCTGCCTATCTCCAGCTCCACTTGCGTCGAGTCTGGAGGATCCATCAACTCCGCCTTCAGCCTCCGAGGCCCAGACTCAACCTCGGTCCTCCGACCCAGCGGCTCCACCATGGCTCCTAGCTCCCTCGTCTCCACCATGGCCCGTCAGTCCAGCAGCTCCACCGGGCTCCATCGTCCCTCCGGCTCTGCCTTGGTCAGTCGTCGACCATCCGATGCCTTGGGACTCCACTCCTCTGGCTCTGCTGCGTCCCTCCGTCCCTCAGGCTCTGTCAGGCTCCTCCTTCCCTCCGGCTCCACCTCAGTCCTCTGTCGCTCCGGCTCCACCGTGGCCTTCCGGATCCCCGTCTCGGTCGCCGGCGCCATCTGCTCTGCCTTGGCCCTCCAGATGCTCGGTGTCGCCCTGGCTCATCGGCTCTCTGTCTCTGCCTCGGGCTGCTCCGCCGCCATCGGTCGGCCCCCTGGAGTTGTCAGCCCTTCCTCCACCATAGCTCCTCCCTCCGTCGTCTCCACCGTGGGCCGCTATCATGGCTGTGGCCTGGGTCCCACCTGGCTCCTCCTCCTGCTCCGGTTCCCTCCTGTTGTCTCCCTGGCTCCTCCCTCCGTCATCACCACCCTGGACTCTGTTAGTCGTCCTCCTCCTGGGAGTCCGTCCTCCGCCGGAACCTCCACCTGTCTGGTCTGCCGACCAGCCCTTTGCCTTCCCCTGTCACCATTCCACATCCACTCCTTTGTCCTCCTCCTAAGTCCCCCTCCGTCCCTCCCTCTGTCTCCACAGCGCGAGGACGCGCCTTCCGGGAGGGGGGCGACCTGTCACACCCCTGTGAATTGTTGATTGTGGTTTCTCCCTCTGTATCCATATTTGGTTATTCCTGTTCTCATTATTAGTTATTTACCTCATTGTGCTCACCTGTCTGCCCTCTATTGTACTTCAACAAAAATACTTTACAGCTACCTATATCAGTCCATTCAAATGTTTCAAATACATATATACAATATACAATACATTATAAATACATATTACATTACATTACAAATATACATTATATTTAAAACCCCTTAGCGGTGAAAGATCGGCGACGGCCCCAGATTATTGTTGTTTCACTCTAACAGCACATTAAAACATCACACCCTTACTTGATCTGGACAAACTGTTCATCAGTAGAAAGATTAAAGACTCCAACTTCGATATTTGACCACAGTTTTGATAAAACATTGTTGCAGTGACAGTAATTTAGTAATTTATGTCAGGAGTGCAAAATAATAAATCGGTATGTGTCATATTTAGAATAGAAATTCACCACGCATTCATATTCAGTCACGTCTGCAGCGGTTTATTTGTGTTCACATAGCTTCACTAAACAGCTTCAATGCGGGCTTATAGTCCAAAGATGCATATACATGGAGATATATAGATATATTTACTCATGTTTACTTCATATTTCTTCAGAGAGAATCATAATTTCTATTCATTTTCCACTGATTTACACAATCTGATGATAATTAGCCGCTCCCTGGGCTGTCTCTGTGTGTTTACTCTTCTGTGCTTGCGCTGTGACTCAGACAAACTCTGATTCGTCCCATTGCTTGTCAATCTTTTGCGTCTCATAACAAGCCCCGTCTCACCCTGTCACGAGCTTCCTTCACTCTTCCGTGTTGATTTCTGACCACAGCAAACACAGAGAAACCTCTGTATACACTAAATATCCAAATAATAAACACAAGGTTACGATAGTATATGGTTTGTATGTGATTTTCTTGAGATTTGGGGTATTTTCATAACAATAATGAATGTGTACATCTGAAATGCTAATTTGTGCCACGATATAAAAGGCTATAAATAGCATATTTTTACAACAGCAAACAACCAAATACCACATGAGATCGCAAAAGGAAGTTATTACAAACACTCGATGGTGGTTTAAAATGAGTTTTGAGTAAAAGTGTACTAATAATCTCATAAATTGTCATGTGTCTTGATGCTAATGTTAACTCCAATGCAGCTGCAGAACAGGTGCAGCTCTTCTTCATTATGAATTTTGTCATAATAATTCACGTAAGGTCGCAATAAAATGTTTTGTTGTATTTTTATAGAAAGACTTCTGATAATAGGCTGGTAAATGTATACTGGGATTGAAGCGATGTGGCTTGGCAAACCTTGTAATGCCAGAATAAAGGCTACTAATGGCTGAATTAAACAAAAGAATAATGATAAAGGAATAATGAGGATAATGTCTCATACCTGGCCGAGGTGTGAAAGGTTCGTCGAGTGACAACAATAGAATCATGAATGGGGCAGTTTGCCGAGACAGTTTACAGGAGAGCTTACAGGGGTCATACATCAATTTTATTAACCTTCTCTAAAAACACACATGACATGGTCTTAGAAAATGTTTAATAAAATTCACAGTTTTAGAGATTATGTTCTGAAGTTTCAAATGAAGCATTAGTAGACTTGTGGCTTTAGCTTCATTGTGTTTCTAAAATCATATCCTACAGCAACATATTGTTTTATACATTTAAAATGTTTTTAATATTTTTATTTTTGTTTTCATGTTTGAGCATATTTTTATTATCATAACAGTCGGAGTAATTCTGATTCCTGAACAGTAAACTTTGAAGTGTCAGCTTTGTGAACATATGTTGATTATGTAATAAGCAGCAACCTTTTTATTTTGGGTGTGTCATTTGTGTCTCCATGCTGAAAATGGGGGGTGACAGCTAAGGGGATAATGTAAAAGACGTTTGGGGGTCAACCAGCGTACAAAATGTGTGACGAAGGCGCCTCCTTGATCGTCTCGTTAAGATGATGCAGAAGTGCATTGCAAAAAAAGAGTTTATTTGACCCCTACACCCTTCACCCCTTCGAAACTCTCACTTCGTAGGGTAAACCCTTTGAAGGGATTAGGGCATAGGGATGAGCCCTTCCAAATGGAATGCAGGGTTTGTGTTGGTAGTTGTAGGAATGTGTGGGAAATGTGCTAATTGTTGATTTATAGTAAACTGTACTCGTAGATCAAATATTCTGATTTAACTGATCTAGCTTGTATATACAGTATTGTAAATATTTGTTCATATTTTGCCTTCATCTGTCAGTGCAATCCCAACAAATATCCTTCATTTTTATTTTTAAAATGTAATGGTTGTAAAGTGTTTTCTCATTGTTGTAGTTCCCTTTGATAGGTTTATTTGATGCTGCATCAGTAGTTGACACTATGCTAACACCCCCAGGTGTGACGATTGTCTGAACCCTTTATATTATCACATCAGTTCATTGGCTGATGGTGCTCACGCCACCCACGTAGGATCTACGTCACATGCACCATCACCCCTCAGATTTTTCAATCTTTTTTCATTATCTGGTCTGTGTGTATTTCTCCGATTTTTCTTCTTTCTTTCTCATTTTCGTTACTTCATCATATTATCCTGCCATTATCAGAGCAATTATCTCCTCTCGGCAGATACGATGAGTTTCAGGAAATATGTCATGCCGTGTATACAGTTTTATCACTAGCAAGGACATACAAGACAGCCTGCCAGATTGACGTCTTAGCAATAGTTTTAAAATGAAGGTGCCCTGCTCCAGACTCGCCAATATTCTAACAAAGGAAGGGTTTTCGGTTAATCCCCTCTTTTCCAGTTCTGTGGTTGCCGAGGTGGTGCATGAACCAGATGCAGTGGGTATAGAAAAGAATCGCCCACCTTTAACATAATCACATTTTGTTGCTTTGCAGCCTGAAATGAAGATGAACACAGTTTTTGTTTTATCCAGCTGTATTTACTATTGTAACATAAGAGTAAGTTATAGCAACTTATAACATCCAAGTGAATGATATAACATCAACATGTCAGAAAAAAAACAAAAACAAACAATCACTGAGTTTAAAAAAGGATCACCCCCTTGTGTCAGTATTTTGTTGAACCACATTTTGCGTTAATTACAGCATTTAGTCTGTTGGGATATGTCTTGACTAACTTTGCACATCTAGACTTTGCAATATTTGCCCACTCTTCTTTGCAGAACTGCTCAAGTTCAGTTAAATTTGATGGTGACCGTTTGTCGACTGTAGTCTTCAAGACATTCCACAGATTTTCAATGGGGTTTAAGTGTGGGCTCTGACTAGGCCATGCAAGGCCATTCACCTTTTTCTCCTTCAACCACTGTCTGGACAGTTTTGCTGTGTGCTTTGGGTCATTGTCATGTTGGAAGGTAAACCTTCTTCCCATTGACAACTTTCTGGCAGAGGGCAGCAGATCTTCCTCAAGAATTTGACGGTATTTTGCCTCATCCATTTCACCTTCTATCCGGACAAGTGCTCCAGTCCCTGCTGCAGAGAAACACCCCAATAACAGGATATTTCCACCTCCATGCTTTACTATAAGAATGGTGTTATTTGGATGGTGAGCTATATTGTATTTCCGCCAGATATATCGTTTGGTGTTGAGGCTAAATCATTCAATTTTAGTCTCATCTGCCTCAGAATCTTCAAGGTGCATTTTGG